AGCCCCAGACTTTTACCATGTCTTCAAAAAGATGTGGAAATTGAAGCAGCAGGAGTGTCCTGGCTGTGATGTCCTCTCCCTAGGGACCTACACTGCCAGTCGGAGTTTCTATGGCATTGCTGACAAGGTAGATGTGAAAACTTGGAAATCCACAGAGCACAATATGGGGTTAGCCCTGACCCGAGATGCCTATCAGAAGCTGATCGAGTGCACAGACACTTTCTGTACTTACGATGATTATAACTGGGACTGGACTCTTCAGTATTTGACTGTCTCCTGTCTTCCGAAATTCTGGAAGGTCTTAGTTCCTCAAGCTCCCAGGATTTTCCATGCTGGAGACTGTGGTATGCATCACAAGAAAACATGTAGGCCGTCCACCCAGAGTGCCCAGATTGAGTCATTCTTAAAAAGTAACCAACAGTACCTATTTCCAGAAACTCTAGTTATCAGTGAGAAGTTTTCTATGGTAGCCATTTCCCCACCTAGGAAAAATGGAGGGTGGGGAGATATTAGGGACCATGAACTCTGTAAAAGTTACAGAAGACTGCAGTGAAAAACATCACCATTGCAAAAGTGACAGTCTTCTCCTTTTTATATTTCTCTCAATGGGATATACAACTGAATAAAAGGTATAGGAACTGGTTTCTGCTTTAATACATGAATTTCTTGTAAAAGGTGTCCAAATATATAGTAATCCTTTTCCGTTATGTCTTGATTAAAATTTCAAACGGAAATTTTCATTTTGGGATTTGGGTTTTAAAATTCAGTCTGTATCTGCTTAAGGGTAATGATTCGATTATTACTGATTAAAAAAGAAATTTTATTTAAATCGCATCTGTTAATCTTTTTATCTAAAACTTTGTATGTATACGTTTCCACTTTCAGAACTTACTTTACGTACAGCAAGGTTTATTTAAAAGGGTCACGGCAGTAAAAAGTATTCTAGTGGAAGGAACCGTTAGAGCACTGCTGGGACAGGCCCAGTTTCTCTGTTGACGGTTTAAGAACTCGAGTTCCGTTTGTTCAGCATCCTGTCAGAAGTCATTTCAGTGTTACCGATTCCTGTGCTGCTGTGTTACGGTTTGCCTGTGCTTTCGGCCCTCATATTACATGATTTCTGTTGGAATGTATTTGGTTAATGAGAAAGTTTAAACACTGTTTCACCTCAATGTAGAAATACAGTGGTTTTGATTTTTATTTTCCTTTCTAGTGCTGCCAAAATAAAATACTCATTTTTGCATAAAAAGCTCCCTAGTCATTTTGCAGACTGTTGTATTTGTACCAGTAAAGGCATCCTAGAAGTTCTGAGCATGAGCATCGTAGCTCAGTTTTTACTAACTATGCATTATATGAATTTAAAATGAAGCTAGCTCGTGACAGTGCATTCTCTCAGGAAGAAATTGTTCGGCTTTCAGATCAGCCAGGCATAGATAATGAACAATAAGAAAAGCTGCTGCATAAGGGAAATACTGCCTAAATTGTTTTTTTGAAGGCCAGAAATGATACAAAGTTCAGTCTTGCCAAGGTGCAGCAGGTCTGGTGCCAGCTGTGACTGAGATACTTTTAAAAGAACAGGCACAGTAGCAGGGAGCAAGCTTTAGATTTACTCCTATTTTTATATTACTTTTCCATAATGTAATTGCATTCAGCCGAAAATTAGAGAACTCGCTGAACCAAAGCCTCAAAAATTACTGTTTTCATCAGTTTCGTACTGGAAATGGATGTTCTTTTTAAAGGTGAAGCATAGTTGTGTGGTTTTATATTGCCCTCACCTCTCAATCTGTCATTGTCTTTCTAAATGTTTTACCACATTCGTTTCCCATGTGCACATGTATGGGTGTACACGTGTGTATCCAGGGTGCATACTGAAGGTCAGAGGGTGTTGATTCTCTACCTTGAGTCCCAGGGTCGACTACAGGCGGTTGGCTGGTGCTTTCCCACTGAGCTGTCTCACTTTTTTTTCCTTTTTGCTTGTTTAAAAGATTGGTTTGTGTGCATGCTCTGGCTGGCCTTGAACTGTAACCCTTCAGTCTGTAGCTGGGATTACAGAGCCTCGTGCATGCAAGGCAAGGACTACCCAGTACATTGTGCTGCCGTTGTATAGGGAGAGATGTACATCAGAATCTCCTGCCCTGCTATCACCAGTTCAAAGGACTAAAGGAAGTAGATGTTATTTCCAGGACTGTTCGAAGGTTGCTTGTAATTAGCAGCTTTGGCTGAAACAGAGATACTTAAGCTCATGGCCTTGGGACCAGTAATGACATCAAGAGAGATTTTCTTTTCTGTGTTCTTTCATGCTGTTCTAAAATATTGTGTGTGTGGTGGGGACCTGTGATGGTCTCCTCTACCACATTTTAAGAGTTATAAATTGATTCCAGAATAATGGTTTCTCATGTAAAAGACAATTTTTCTGGCAGAACAAATGGCTAGGTTTTTTATTAATTTCTGTTCTAAGGATTTTTAAGTCATTTTTATATGTATAGGTATTTTGTCTGCATGCATATCTGTGCACCACCTGTGGAGACCAGGGGCATTGGGTCCTCTGGGACTGCAGTTACAGACAGATGTGAGCTGCCAAATGGGTGTTGGGACTTGAACCTGAGTCCTCTAGGAAGAGCAGCCAGTGCTGAGCTGTCTCTCCAGACTCTCTAAAAATCTTAAACACAATTATTTAAAATTAATTTTGAAAATGATTATGTTTAAAAATTTTTAACTTTGGGCTAGAGAGATGGCTCAGTAGTTAAGGGCACTTGACTGCTTTTCCAGAGGACCTGGGTTCAATTCCCAGCACCCACGTGGCAGTTCCTAACTGTAACTCAAAGATCTGACACCCTCACATGAATGTACATGCAGGCAAAACACAAATGCACATAAAATAAAAAAATAAGCTTAGGGCTAGAGAGATGGCTCAGCGGCTAAAATCACTAACTCTTCTTCCAGAGGTCCTGAGTTCAATTCCCAGCAACCACATAGTGGCTCATTACCATCTATAATGCGATTTGGTGCCCTCTTCTGGGTTGCAGGTACACATGCAGGCAGAAAACTGTACAATAATAAATCTTTTTTTTAATAATATATTCATTTATTTATTATGTATACAATATTCTGTCTACGTGTATGCCTTTAGGCCAGAAGAGGGCACCAGACTTCATTACAGATGGTTGTGAGCCACCATGTGGTTGCCGAGATTTGAACTCAGGACCTTCGGAAGAGCAGGCAATGCTATTAGCCGCTGAGCCATCTCCCCAGCCAATAATAAATCTTTTTTTAAAAAAAAAAAGCTTATATGTACTGATGTTTTGCCTGTATATATGTTCACATGTGCCTGGTGCTCACATAGGTAGAATGGGTCATCATATCCTCTAAACGTGGAGTTAGGATGCTTATGAGCTATAATGTGGGTGGTGGGAATCAAACCCCAGTCTTCTGCAAACACAAGTATTTCAAATACTCAGCTGTCTCTCCAGCCTCCAAAGTTTTGAGGCAGATTCTCCCTGCAGCTCTAGCTGTCTTTGAACTCCCACCTAACTGAAGCTGGAAAGTACTGGGATTAAAGCCGTGCACCACCACACCTGGCTTTAAGATATAGTTTTAATTATATTTTTATGTCTGTATATGTTTCGTGTGTGTGCGCATAAGTTTGTGTGCCACAGCAGGTATGCAAGTCAGAGGGAAACTTGCAGAAGTAGGTTCTCTCCATCCGAGTAGTACCAGCGATTGGACTCAGGTTGTCAGGCTTGGCAGTAGGTACCTTTATCTGCTGAGCCATCGGCCATTCCCCCAAATTATCTTAACTCATATATGTGACACTTATATGAAAATATATAATTGGTACCAAGAAAGTAACATAATTAAAATTAAACACAAAAGCCAGTATGTACTTGTAATACAACTATGTAATTTTGTTTTGCGTTTCAAGACAGGGTTTCTCTGGGTAGCCCAGGCTGCCCTGGAACTAAGATCTGCCTGCCTCTACCTCCCAAGTGCTAGAATTAAAGGCCTGTGCCACTATAGCCTGGCTCAACTATATATTTTAAAGGTCTGGCCTGCTTGTGCATGCCTAAAATCCCAGCACTCAGAAACTGAAGCAGGAAGGCTGCCACAAGGTGGCGCTGGCCTGACTACAGGGAGTATGAGCCAACTCCGTTTCACAAAACGAAGGGTCCAGAGAAATGGCTCAGTGGATGAAGACCCTTTCCACCAAGGCGGGTGACCTGGATTTAATCCCTGAGACACACCTGTCCTCTGACCTCCATATTCATGCTGTAGCCTACCTGTCCACCCCCCACCCACAAATAAGGAATGTGGTGGGTTGTTTTTTGGTTTTTTGGTTTTGTTATTTATTTGCATACAGTGCAAGCCAGAAGAGGGCACCAGATCTCATTACAGATGGTTGTGAGCCACTTTGTGATTGCTGGGAATTGAATTCAGAATCTCTGGAAGTGCTCTTAACCTCTGAGCCATCTCTCCATCCCGTTTTTGTTTTTTAAAAACGATTTTGCTCTTCTTGAGAAAAATATTTCTATTAGAAAAATCACAAAGCTTATCTTATAATTAAGGAAACTTAAATGCTGGGATTAAAGATGTGCACCACTGCCTGGCATTTTTAAGGCAGCCTCTCATGTAGCCCAGGCTGGCTTCTTAATTCATTAGGTAGCCCAGGTCGATCTCTAATTCATTACGTAGCTCAGGCTGGCCTCATTCATTATGTAGCCCATGCTGACCTGGGCTGACCACGAGTCTTCTCCAGGAAGACTCAATTCTCCAGGAGTTACAATTACAGGTACCCACCTGGCTGCTGGCTCGCCATCAGGATCAACTGTAAATGTTTATTTTTATTTTTTTTTTAAGTAGCTATTTTTGGTTTTGTTTTTTTGAGACAGGGTTTCACTGTGTAGCCCTGGATGTCCTGGAATTTACTCTGTAGACCAGGTTGCCCTCAAACTAACAGAGATCCACCTGCCTCTGCCTGTTTTATAGTTAAAAACACAAAGAAGCTATTTTAGGTCCCAAATTTTTTTAAACAACATTTAAATTTCAAAACTATATACAACTAATCCAAGTCATACAGCAAAGAGTTCTGAAAACTGAATGCACAGTGGGTCGTGTGGTCCTTAATGATCTGCACACTACCATCCTCCATATTGGTCTCTTTGATGCTGTCCAAGTCAGGTATGTTTCGTGCTACCGTTTTGTTCAGTACTGAAGACAGGTGATCGCCATCTAATTCCTTGTCCTCAGTCACGCCTGGCTCTTTTCTATTTTCCTGCTCCTCGGCTGAGCAGGTTGCACCGTTTTCTTTTATAAACTCAGGATCCGTGTTTGGCTCTAGTTGCTGGGGTTTTCCAGACAGCTTGTGAGGAGCATCAGGACAGATGTGTTGAGGGCCCACAGCTGAGCCACAGGGGTTTGTTTCCAATGCTTCCACTGCTGCAGATGAATGGGAGTCACTTGGAGAGGTAGGAAAATGGTCTGTGTTTCCCTTTTCACTGAGAGGGCATCCTTCACTGCCTCCTTTTCCCGTTCCTTGAAGCCCATCAGGATCAGTACATTCTTGCGACTGTATCAAGAGAAACAGCAAATCAGTAATTCTTTGAAGCAACAGAAATTGAATCATAGTACTCTATGAAAATAATATTTTAAAAAATTTTGTATATGTTTGTATATTCACGCACGATACATATACAGAGAGGTCAGGGAGCAACTTATGGGCGCTAGTTCTCACCTTCTTACGACATAGGTGCCGGGAGCAAACTCATCAAGCTTGGCACTGGGTGCCTTTACTGTGTGTGTGAGCAGGGAGGGGTACGATTAGGGGTGCTTGGAGGTGTGAAGAACAATTTTCTGGAGGTCTCCTTTCGCCTCCATGGTTTCAAATTCGGCTCAGCAGGTTGGCACAGGAAGCACTGGCGTCTACTCAATAATCTTAACTACAAACTAGCTTCAGTTTTCTCAAGAGATCTGCCTGCTTCTGCCTCCTGAGTGCTGGAATTAAGCCACAGTGACTTGTGGCTTTCATTTTCTGATTAAATCCTTTCAATTAGGGCTGGGGAGATGGCTTAACAGTTAAGAGCACCTGCTGAGAAGACCAGTTTCATGTCCCAGCATTCATATGGCAGGTAAGGTGCTCTCCTCTCCTCTGGCAGGTACCACAGCAAGATACACGCAGACAAAATACTCATGCATACACATAAAATAAAATCTTTATACTCGCATTTTTCTCTTTCCTCTTCTCTCCTCCCTCCTCCCCTCCTCTCTCTCTCTCCCTCCCTCCCTCTCTCCCTCTCCCTCCCTCCCTCCCTCCCTCTCTGTCCTATTGAGACAAGGCTTCTCTATACATCCCTGGCTATCCCGTAACTTACTGAGGAGATCGGCTCTGTCTCCCAAGTGATAGGATTAAAGGCCTGTGCTGCCACCACTGCTAACTAAATTTTAGACCTTTGATCCCAGCACTTGGGAGGCAGAGGAAGGCAGATCTCTGAGTTCGAGGCCAACCTGGTCTACGAAGTTCCAGGATAGTCGGTGTTACACAAAGAAACCCTGTCTTCAGGGGGAAAAAAGCTTTAAAAAATCCTTTCACTTATTCGTCATCTCTTCCACAACAGCTTCAAGGATCAGCCTTTCAAGCATGGCCACAGATATCAAGTCATCACCATAGAGGCACTGTGGAGTTTCTTGACTTTTCTCAGTCAGGAATGCTAGTTCCTAAGTTGTTTTGTCCAATGTTGAAGACCATAAACATAACCAAACTTAAGGTTCAACTAAAAATGTTCTATGATACAATTTTTATAATTTGAGAGTCGAAAAATACTTGCTTATTCTGCAAAAATCTCAAATTTCCTAAATATATGTATAATTGGAGGAATATTGTGGAATTAAAAAACATTCTGTTCTTCTATATTTTATTAGGGGATAGAGAGCAGGTTCAGTGGCTGCTTTTCCTGAGGACATGGGTTCAATTCCTAGCACCCACATGACGGTTCACAGCTGTCTACAATACTTCCAAGGGATCTGATGCTGTCTTCTGACCTCCACAGGCACCAGGCACATATGTGGCACACAGTCACACATGCAGGACACGCATACACATTAGATCATATGCGACACAATGCATATGCATAAATTGCTCCCATATAGTTTTCTTGGATTAACTAACTGACTAACAAGAAAACTGTCGCACTAAATTGTCTTTGGTGTATTTCTTATCAGGGAAGCCATGATTATCTCTTTTGAGATGTGTGAGCCTTACAGTGCTTTTGATGTGGTGTTTCTATAAAAATTATCCAGAATAAACGATTCTGTGGGGCTGGAGAGATGACTTAGTGGTTAAGTGACTGCTCTTCCAAAGTCCTGAATTCAGTTCCCAGCATCCACATGACTGCTCACAACTGTGTAACTCCAGTTCCAAGGGATCTGGCACCCTCATATAGCAAACATGCAGGCAAAACAGCAATGCACATAAAATAAAAATGAATAAATCTTAGGAAAAAAAGGTTTTGGATTTCAAGTAACAGCAAGACAAATTGCTAAATTTGTCTAAATGTAAAATTCTGAGTCCAAGGTTCATTTGCAAATTCAACTGCTATCTGGCAGAACATCAAATTTGTCTGATTTTTATCCCTTGTTTGTTAGTTACAGTAAAACGAACACTTTTTAAAAAATAATATGAAAACAGAGAGGAGTTTTTAATCATACGTAAACATGCAGAAAAATCTGCAGGCATGGTGGTGGCACATATCTTTAATCCCAGCACTAGGGAGGCAGACGCAGGCAGATCTCTGTGAGTTCCAGCCCAGTCTGGTCTACATAGTGAGTTCCAGGACAGCCAAAGCTACAAAAAGAAACCCTAATTTGAAAAAATTTAAAAAAATAAAAAAAAAAAAAATCAAGAACTGAAGACATTCGGCCAATAGTCACTCCCTTTTAAACCCCACCGAAATACTACCTTGGCATGAATCTGAATCTTCTCATCTGTAACCTGAAGAACTTCAATCAGCGGTGGGACTAGGGGCCTTGCCTGTGTCGATGGGGAGTCCAGGACCTCATCAAGAAACTCATTAACGTTTTCCTCATCAAGAAACAACCTTTCCTAAAGTAGAAAGAGAAAAAAAATGTTCCATCTTATAGGTCACTGTAAACGTTCTTACATAGTTCATTGTTACAGTTTTTTTAAATGTTTATCTCACCAACAGTGAGTGCTACCTTGAAAAGAGGAATTCTAGTATTGTCCAAACCGTAATTAATATGAAAAACATGTATTCAGGAGATCCACCTAAAAAGAGAAGATAAAAGGAAGTCTTGATGCTTTTTCTAAGTTTACTAAAGTAGAGGTATGCTTTCCCTACCTAGATGATCTTACTTACAAATAGTATTTCTTTTATTTTCCAAATATATAGTGTCTTCAGTAGCCCAAGCTGGCCTCTGTGCACCTGCACGTGACCTTCAACTTCTGATCCTCCTGTCTCCACCTCCTAAGTGCTAGGATTGCGCAGGCATCACCATAACTGGTGCCCCTGGTATTAGGAATAATCACTTCAAGGCTATAAGTGCAACCCTAGCTATTACAGTTCAGCCTTCTAATAATTCCTAATGAACCAGCTAAGAAATAAACTGAATAAGTCTTTTAAATTCTTGAGTATGCAAACTGGATATAGTGGTACAAAACTGTATTTCCAGCACTTGGGAAGTAAAGGCAGGAAGATCAGATGTTCAGGGTCACTTTCCCCTACACAAGAGTTCAAGGCTACCTTAGGCCACTTCAGACCCTGCGTCTCAAACAAAATACAGAAAAAGTTCTTGGCCACTTAAGAGCCAATTACAATATTTTATTTAAAAGTACATTCTATTTATTTTTAATTTTTAGAAGCAGTGTCAGAGTTTAACAAAGGTACTTTAATACTAACTTTAAGAAAAAAGATTATGAAAAACGCACTCAGTGCTGGGCATAGCATCACACACCTTTATTCCTAGTGATGAGGGAGCAGAAGCTAGTGGGTCGCTGAGTTACAGGCCAGCCTGGTCTGCAAAGAGAGTTTCAGGCCAGTCAGGACTACACAGAGACGCGACTCAGAGGAAGGAAGGACAGACACACACTTGCAAACACGGGTGCAGGATTTTCAAACATGTCACCACGTGTTTTATTTTTAAGACTTGATATATTTTAGTGTGCTGCGTGTAGATAGTTATTTAAAAGTAAACTGAGCTGGGCAGTGGTGGCGCACACCTTTAATCCCAGTACTCTGTGAGGCAGAGGCAGGTAGATCTCTGTGAGTTCAAGGCCAGCTTAGCCTGGTCAACGACAGAGCAAGTTTCAGGAAGGCTCCAAAGCTACAGAGAAACCTTGTCTCGAAAAAAAAAAAAAGTACATAGATTTTAAGACAACAGATTTCTCAACTATTACTAGAAAATTTAAACCACAGTCACCCAAATCCAACCACAACATAACTTGTTTATATGCATGTCAAGTGAGGAACAACCATTTAACGATATTCAAAATTATTTAATTCATAAGATCAGTTTAGTGTTACTCAAAATAAGATTATCTTCTTCTGTGCTTATATAAGTAAATATCAAATATTTTAATTACAAAGTAAAGATTATTATGTGGTTCAAAGAGGGGGACAGAATCCAAGAAATATTTCAAATTCTCTTTGATTAAACAGTATTTGAATTTGCAAGTGAACTAATAATTCGAAAAATTATATATTTAGAACAGTTTGCAACCTTTGGATATGTGCACACTTGGCTTTGAGAACGCACCGCGCACTGTCTTTCATGATATGAATAGACGGGAAACATTTGTGTACGTGCCCGTAACCAAAAATATTTTAAAGTAAGATGGAGTATTTCTAATAGTGAAAACGGTTACCTCCAAAGAATCATGGTTCAAGCCACAATACCATTCTCGCCATCGTCCACGGCTCTCCGGAGATTTTGCCAGTACTATCACTGCATTGTTTAAAGAAATGCTAATCTCGGGTTCTTTGGTACTCAATGTATTCTCTGGAGCAAACTGTAAAGTGAAGGAATAGCCTGAGTCTGGTGTGGAGAAGCACAATTTGTAACGGAGGGGACTCAGGTCCCCGTGAAGACTTTGCGGCTGAATCCGAGGCACTTCAATGAGCAAAGTCAAGGAGTCCTCGTCCTGATTACACCGCAAAGGAGGGCACAACGGTTCGATGCTCTCGGCTCCGGGGCCACCCATGGCTGGGCTCGAGGCGTCGTGGAGGGTCTCCTCCTGCTGCTCACTCGTCTGGGCACTGAGGTCTCCGCACGATCCCCGTCTTCCCGCAGGGGACTCGGTGTCGCAGCCCGGGAACGCAGTACAAGGGAGGCTTCGGTCCCCACCTTCCACCGAGTCCCTACCGAAGTCTCGCTCCTCTTCAGCGTCTGCAGCCCTGAAGCCTGGGGCTCCCACGCCGCTCTCGTCCCCGCGATCAGCTCGGGTCCCCTCCGCCGGCTCTCCCCGCGCCGCAGCAGGGTCGCCCTCGGAAGCGCAGGCTGCGCCGTCAGTTCCGGTCTCGGCCGCCGACTCTTCCGGCGTCGCGGCAAGGTCTTGGCGCGCGATGTGCAGCGCCACTGGCAGCGTGACCACCAGCTGCCGCCGCGCCTTGTTGTACTGCGCCTTGCCGCGGCCGTCGTCCACCGGGTAGGGCAGCGAGAGCCGCAGTCGGTAGTCGGGGCTCCGGGAGTCCAGGCACAGC